CTATTGATGTTAGGTGATTTCTAATGTGGGCTATTGATGTTAGGTGATTTCTAATGTGGGTTATTAATGTTAGGTGATTGAAGATATTGATTATGAATGTTATGTGACTGATGATATGGATTATCAATGTTAGATTATTGATGATGAGGATTATCAATGTTAGGTGATTGCAAATATGAATTATCAGTGTTAGGTGATTGATGATGTAAATTAGATTATCAATGTTAGATGATTGATAATGGATTATCAATGTTAGATGATTGATAATATGGATTATGAAATGTTAGGTGATTGAGGATTTGCATCATTAATGCTAGGTGATCTCCAGTGTGGATTATTAATGTTAGTAATGGTTATGGTTATGGTTATGGTTATAGTTATAGGTTATGGTCACTAAGTGCATACAGTGCCAGGCAATTAATTACCTCGTCCATTTGTGGATTTTCCCGCTTTAGATTTCCGGCTGCAGAAATGACAGTCTTCACCGCTCTCATGCCGAAATCGTAGTGGTCCTTCAAAACAAGACATAAAACATAAAACACACTCAGCAATTGGATTTGTGCCAACCTGCTGTTCGGTAGAGGAATTGGCAACAGTTTCTGTAAGAAATGATTTAGTGCTTCTAGGTGGAAATCTCATCTGTTCTAGCCATGACTTTTCTTATCTGCTTCCCAGATTGTTTTCCTTTGCGTGATGCCAGCGGAAATGAATCTCCATGTCACTATTACATTCATAAAAAAACTAAACACAGTGGCAGGCAGTGAATGATGTTGAGTACAAAAACACAAGTACAATCTCCCTTCTGCAATATCTGACAGCTGTTGATATATTGCAATCCAGGATATAACACAAAATCCCAAACTTGCGTTCTAAAAACCAAACCTCGTGAATATTTTAACGAAATCTATCAAATCTAAGGCGAGTGAAATTTGAGCGAATATATCACTTTTCGTATAGAAATACTAGCTGTGTTTCATGCCCACTGTGACACTTTAATATTGCAATCAAATAAATATTATTTATTTATTATTCTTCGCTGTGTCGATACTACGGTTACTCTCAGAGAAAAATCGTTACATTACGTGGGCAATCCTCTTCCTATAGTGATGCTGACACTCTCTGTTCGGCTTCACATCATTACAGCATCCACTGTGATGGCTATTGATCAAATTAATTGATAAGTTATTTAGTTAATTAATTCTAATTCAATTTTCTTTGATTAATCGAAATCGAATTGCAACATCATGATACTTCACCAACATTTAAATTCCATATGACAGCAGGTGTGCTATGAATGCAATTAACACCACACTGACCACCCTCACATGTGACTTGACTGCCACACGCAGCAAATAACTAATCATATCAGCCTTGGCGTATGTCATCATGTGGTAAACGCTCATTGCGCGAAAGTATGATGGGCATGGAACGTGCACGAAGCAGCAATCAAGCAAACTGAGTATGCGCTTATTGAGTACATAATCACATCTGAAGGACAGTGACCAAACTGAATTCCTGTAGCTTTGCTGAACAATGATCGATGCGCAAGTGGTAAAATAGCACGTTGAACATGCTTGTTTTATTGTGAAATGAATGGGTTTCCATAGGGCAAACCTATTTTCTGGTAAAGGTACCGTTTTGTTAGCGACCACCTGAAAGAGAACGTTAGAGCCCGTCTATTTATTACCAGACCTCCTACCTCACATCTGACGCAACAATAGACATTTGTTTATTATGTTAGTAACTCTTGATTAAATTGCCCTGAGGCAGCGTCATTAGCCAGATCTGAATGGGTGTTTACCTGCGAGGATAACTGCTCTGATGATAGCTTGAACGTGCTGGTAATCTTTTTGGCTAGAGCTTTCGCATCGGAGAAGCCGAAGGAGAACAGGCTGATCTCAGCGATGAGTGCATAGTCTGGCACCATCATAGCCACGGGACGAAACAGTGCCTGTCAAGTAGACGAGCGATCACATGCAATCGTATCTATGATGTTAGGTGAATTTCTAATGTGGGTTATTGATGTTAGGTGATTTCTAATGTTGGGTATTGATGTTAGGCTGATTTTCTGAATGTGGTATACAGCCTTCACGATACGATCCGTATAACGATACAGCCTTCACGATACGATCCATATCACGATACAGCCGTCACGATACGATCCGTATCACGATACAGCCTTCACGATAGTTGACCGTATCACGATATTTTCAAGTGAAACTACCTAGTCAACTCTAGAACCAATCAAACCAATCACGTGAACGATTAAAAATCTGTATTGTGGAGATTTGGGTAAAAACTGCTCTGGAATTACGAATTGTGTTGTTTCTTTTTTTTAAGAAACTACGCTACTAAATGAGAGTATTGATACATGTATTGCAAATGGTTAAACGTATCTTCGAAAAAACATATGACTAGATAGTATGCCAATACATCGATATGTCGATGAATCGTCCCACCACTAGCAATCACTGCATACCTACAGTAAAAAACTGCAAAAAATAACATTCCCTGTGGAATCGCGCCGTATTTAAATATCACTATTGTTATCAACTATAGGCAATATACAGGAGATGATATATGCGAATCTAATTCAAGATGAGCAACCTGTTCAACACCCTGTGAATCGTTGTAAACAGCGAGCAATCCGGTGCGCAGATCATGATCATGATCACGCCGGACACGCCAGACAAATACTCTCGCTCTTGTTACACAAATCAGCAAGGCAACGCTGTAAGACGCGCACAAGCAGGCACACACTACGCTAAACGCATGTGATGGTGACTCGATACACAACACTAACACAGGCTTAATGGCTTCACACTCAACGTGTAATGACAGGGATGATAATGATTAACGGTGATAATTCTCCCCAAAACAATTACCCTGAAGTCACTGATACAAAGAATGGCATAGAGCCTTATTGACACCCTGTTTATCACCAACAAATATGATCACAGGCATCATGGCCACTGACTGGCTGAATGATGCTCTTTTGAAATCAAATACCCGGACGATTGATTGCGTCACACAGGCATTACATTCATTACAGCTAGTTTTCATTACAGTTCATTATTCTATTGCCATCTCGCAGGTATGTATCCTGCACAGCTACACTGACGCTAAGCCGGCTAAGGTGATATCCAATGTAGTTTACTAATGTTAGGTAATTTCCAATGTGGGTTATTGATGTTAGGTAATTTCCAATGTGGGTTATTGATGTTAGGTA